TAATTAACTGATATCTTTTTTAAACCTCTATCTTTTTTCAGGATTCATCTGTACTAGCACAATTAGGATGGCCCGACATGCGTTTGCCTATTCTATACACAATGTCATGGCCCGATCGAGTTGGATGTTCTGAGATTACGTGGCCTCGACTTGATCTTTGCAAGTAATTAATTACCTTAAAAAATTAAATACATGTTTATTTATTTACTCAGCCTAGATTCAACAAAATTAGTCGACTTTGATTGTTTTTTTTTTTGGATGGTTCAGGCTGGGTTCTCTTACGTTCAAAGCTCCCGATAATGTGAAATATCCATCGATGGATTTGGCTTATGCAGCCGGACGAGCTGGCGGGACAATGACCGGTGTTCTTAGTGCCGCTAATGAGAAAGCTGTGGAAATGTTCATCAACGAGCAGTAAGTAGTTCTTTTTGGTTTCGCCCTTTTTTTTGCCTAAAGTTTGCTGGATCTAGAATTCTTGTGTTTCGAATTTATTTCATTACGTGTAAGCTTAGTGAAAAAAAAAAAGAAAAACAACAGATGTATGTAAGACAATAAACAGGCACATCTTGATTGTTGTTTGATGACTCGTGATCCATAATGCAGAATTGGGTATCTCGACATATTTAAAGTCGTGGAGCTAACGTGCGATAAGCATCGTTCAGAATTGGTGTCTTCACCTTCGCTCGAGGAAATTGTGCACTATGACTTGTGGGCCCGGGATTATGCAGCCAGCTTGAAACCGTCGGCTAGCTTGAAGCCTGCACTTGTATGAAAATAAAGGCTGATAGAATATGGGGTTGATTTGAACTTTTTTTTTTTTTTTTTCCCTGTTGAGGGAGGGCATTAGAGGTAGCTTTAGGCCATATACAATGGAAAATCGTCTTGTGTGGGAAATGGGATTTGTGAAAGGGGTTTGAGGGGCAAAAGGCAAATAAGAGAAAGTGTTGGGGGCAATAAGTAAAGCTTTTGAGATATGTAGTACTTGCAATACCAAATCTAATGAGTTTCCAATGCCAAAAATTTTGTGGGTTTTATTTTATAATAACCCCCCTCTCTCTATTATTAAATCAAAATGTGATAAGATTGAATTGTATGCTCACACACTCTGGATGCTAATATGACGAAGATCTATGTTTCGTAATTTGGCTTGTGTGAATAGTTATACTTTGAAATCAGGCTTGGTATGATACATAAATGTTTTTTTTTATTATTATTATTATCAAGCTTAGTAATTGTTCGTTTAGTTATGAATATTTACTTCTTGGACATTATGAAAATATTCCCATCTTTTTTATAACAAGTAAAATAAAATCTTCTATGCATCTATTTATTATACTATGACATAAAATGTTCCATATATAATTGGATTCATGTTATTTTAACATTTTTTATTATGCCAAGTTTAATGTACTGAAAAATGATTCTATCATTTTTTATGTACCTAGAAGTTAGTGAAAAATTAATTTGTAGTCAAATTTAAGGTGTCATAAATAATATGTGCCATAATTAAAAGATTAATATGGGTCATATTTAAAATAATTGACCCATATTTTAAAACACGAGAATAATTAAGAGATTCATAAAGTTTGGATTTATATTTTTAAAATGAAGTCAAACTCAAGGAATTGTAATAATGATTTCTAGACATAATTCTATTAGTGTGATTAAAATTTATTGTTTTTTTAAAAATTGAGCATAAAGCACGAAAGTTATTTTACATTTTGTTATTTTTTTTTATTTTATTTCTTACAATTCTCAACAAGAATATAAATTCTTTTAGTTATTCAACTTCTATTGTATAATTATTTATTTTCAAATGCCCGCGCAATACACGCTGTCGTATGCTACTAGTATATTGTGTTTAATTAATATGAACGAGTTTTGTATGAAATTAATATCATATTGTTTGTAATTTAATATAAGCTATTCGATTTATTTTGCACTTATATGTTCAATTTTAATATGAAGTTCACCCCATTGATATGGATACTACCAAATTGAGGTCCGAACCGTCAGATTATACTCGTACATATACAAACTGCAGCTAATAGTCTATATATGAGTACCAACTATAGACATATGATAGTATAATACTCCCTCATATTCATTATAAATGTCGTTTTGACTTTTTTGATTCATCCATTTTGTTACGTATTTAGACATTAATGTCTAGATACATAACAAAATGGATGAATCACAAAAGTCAAAACGACATTTATAATGAACATGAGGTAGTAACTGATATCATTTTTATTATATTAATGAAATACAACTAACATGCTAATTTAAGATATTCCTCTAGTAAATATGTATGCAACATAATGGTGACATGCACTTTTCTCTCTTGACTATGCAAGTATATAATGATGAGAATTATTAAATTGATATGTTTGGTCTCTCATTTAAAAGAGCCGATTATATAAAGTATAACAGTGAAAAAAAATACATGAAATACAATGCACCATTATCTTATCCCAAATTAATCAAATTGAAGTTGCAAACGAGTCAAGTCGAGTTGAACATTCTTCGTATCGAATTAGCTACGCTTACTTTTTCTTATTGTTGTACGAACTTGACGAGTCGAACAGCTCAACCTGACAAAAATGCGCAAATGCTCAAGAGCGGCTCAATTTTATTTTATTATTTTTTTTTTTAAGTTTGCCTCGAAATTTCAATAAAAAAATGTCTAGTTAAGGATATTTAAGTAACTTTAACAAATAATCGAACGGCTCGTCAAACACTCAAGATTACGAACTATATGCTCGAGTTCGACTCAAATTTGAATTCAAGATGTTCGAGCTCGGGTTGAACGTTGACTCGAGTTCTTGTGAAGCCCCCAATTCATTTGCAACCCTACTCAAAATGGCTTATCCATATAAAAGTGTATAAAGTTGAGAAGTTTTTTAAAAAAAAAAAAAAAAA